AAGAGTTTCTAATCGATCTTTAATTAATCTTGTATTCACCTTTAATTTCAGCTTGTTTTTCTACTCTTATTAACCGATTACCTTCAGTTTCTACTAAATTTCGATTACATCGTTGAATTGACATAGTAAATACTTCGTAATTCAAGTTATTCTTAAATTTTGCTTCTCGTTCAACCAAACTTCGAACTTGTCGAACGGTATTTGGATGTTTTTTTTCCATAATCTGATCCAATGTTAGCCATTTTTTCATTTACCTGTATATAAATACAATCGTTATTTTTGTATTTTTTATTTCAATAAACTGAAAAATCAATTCCTACTAGCAACTCTCGACTACACCAATCAGAAAGTCTATAAAACACTTCATAATACAATGTCGTTTTACGTTGTTCTTGTCTTTCTTCTAAGCTTTGAACCTTTCGTAATTTATTCTTTTGTCTTGATTGATTATCCAGTTTGCCTACAGTTTTTTCCCGAACTTCATTCATTTCTTTATTACCTGTTTCATTTTTGTTATTATCAGTATTATTTTCAAAAGAGCTACAATGTTCTGTTATTGATGTTAGTCGACGACGCTTTTTTCTTTGTGCAGTTCTTGCATCACTTTCTCTATCCAACCGCATTAAGCGTGATGCTTCACTTTCCCTTGCATTTCGTTGAGCACGCCATGCTGCAACTCTATTACTGCTTGTTTTTGTTATCAACTGAAGTGCTGAACAATCAGTTGCATCAATTACCTGCTTATTTTTCATAATAAATATATTTTTCACATTTCGAGTATTTTCATCTGGAACGCATTATTTTGAATATCTACGCAAAAATATATTTGTTATTAATGAATTTTAAAATAGAAATCGATTCAATTCTGTCGTTAGCTGATAGGATCTTCTTCTCATAGGTTTCGACAAATTATTTACTTATGATGTACTAAAGGATGATGTGTGGAAATACCGATAAGTATTTCCACTACATATCAAAATTGATCCCACTCTCATAATAAAAGATTTCTTAATATACACATTCATTGTCAATTATTTTCATTGCTGTTTTTAATTTAGTCTGAAATTATACATAAATATTAATTGAATCGACTTGGTCGTTATTTATAAAAAAAAA